GTTCAATGGCGACGCGGCTTCACTCCGCGGGCTGGGTTGCGACTCTCAGCACCGCGCTCACACCCGATGCCGCTCCGGAGCCTTTAAAAAGGCTCTTTTGCAGTACCGGGGGGCGCAAAAGGTGCCCGCCGAGTCTCCTTGTTCACAGGCTTCTGCGCCTGTGATTTTAGGGGTCCCCCGCTCGCCGTAGCGGGTCAGACCCGAACTCGCGGAGCAGTCCTGCCTCGGAGCTCGAGGCAAGGACCGCCATTAAACGCTGGCGCCGACCGGAAGTCCCATCACTATATTATCTACTCAGGAATATCTATTCTCGCATACTTTGCATAGAGGGTCTAATTAATGGCTAATTTCAAACATAATTTATCTGATTTTATACGTAGAGCAGGCTCGGCCCTCCAGATGTTTTGAGACTACAATTCCCATCATCCCTGACCACTGGTCCTGCTAGCTAGGGATCGTGGGAGTTGTAGGCCAAAAACATCTGGAGGGCCGAGGTTGAGGAAGCCTGACATAGAGAGAAAGAAGTTAAAGTTAAGGAAAAGAAGTTAAATAGCTGATGGGGCCAAATATCAACCCATTCGTCTTTTGCCAGGGCTCTGAGCTGATTTCCTCACACACACACCAACACACACATTTGCAGGCATGAAGGCTCTTTAATGGGAGATATTATGTGTCTCAATTAACCTAAGTAGGCAGGCTTTGAGTCTGTGTGTCCACAAACAGCTGGTGAGAGGGGGTCAAAAGCAAAGGAAAGTTTTGTTCATGTCTCCTTTCCCTCATTTCTGAGAAGGAATGAACTGACTTTCACTACGCTACAGATCAAGGGTGCCGGTTCCTGGGGGCCAATGCACTTTGGGGGGCCCCGATTTTGTTTTGTTTTTTTGTTTTTTGATTGTCTGAAACAGCTGATACCTTGCTACAGATAGATCACAAGCATTCACGTGTCGGGAGGTGCCAGAGACATGGCTGGCAGAGAGGAATCTGCAGAGGGGGAGGAAGAGGCAGAGGAAAACAGGAACTTGATTCATTCACACAACAAAAGTGAGATAAGCTCTTCTCGTTCTAGATTGCTACCTGTAAGTTTCCACAGCAGCACAGAGATGAAGGAGCAGGATGCAGGTGGTAGGAGGGGGTTGGATTCAACTCCAGAGGAGGAGGAATGGGCTGCACCTCAGTCTCCAAGAAACAGGAGGCGGAGCAAGTGATTAGAACAAAGGAGCACCCGCAGGAAGCGGGGGAGGACGTGGCGTATATCTGGCCTTGGCAGGGGCCTGAAGCCAGTCGAGTCAACTGACAGTGAGGAATGAGTTGTGGGAGGCTTGGGTTGTTGAAAGCCTGTTGTTGATAAATACACTTCAACGAATGAATTTATTATTTCGGTCACAGACCAGTTCCAGCCCACATACAATATCAAGGAAGTCATAAGACATGATAGGAATACATTTGAATTTGCAATTAGGTATAACAGGGACAATACAGATATAGCAACAGTTAAAAATATATAAATTAAAACTTAGTCACTAACATATAACCTAAAAGCGACCACTTACCAGCTCAACTGCCAGCGTGTCTTGTCTTGTGTGGGAGAAGTGCTTAACCTACAAGAGGAGGCTTGCATTTTTGATGTTCCAGGTTGGTTCGGTTCACATGGAGGCCCTGTTTGTATGAACCAATACCTCCATGTGGGCAGGGTATATGTAGCAGTCCTTACTACTTGAGCTGGGGTTGACTCAAGAAAGCTCTCACTGCTTCTGCAAGAACTGAGCAGCCACAACTGCGTAGATTGCTGACATGGCAACAAGAGTTCACACCAATGGCTCCTGTGCACAAATTGAGGCACAGCCCATCCGTGCTCCTGTAGCAACAGAGGAAACCACCTCATGGAACTAGCAAAAGGCCTCTTTAGATTCTAGTTGCCCTTTCCTTTAGCATTATTAACTAGGGGTGTTGCCAGATGACCTATTTATTGAGCATTCATCCTGATTTGAATAGACAACACTGGCTATTTAATGAGCATTCATTCTGATTTGTTTGTGGGGAAGTTAGATGACATTGCATCAAAGCAAGCGTTATGTCACACGTTCTAGTGTATTTCCCAAACACTTTTCTTACCTCAAAAAGTCTGATTTGTTTTGGGGGATTGGATCTGTTGCACAAGATCTTCCAACCAATTTTATTTGCGCAACCAGAATTTGCCAGTATGCAACTAAATCCCACCCAAAAATAGCAGCACTCTGAAAGCACCCAGGAGAATTAGAAGAATAGGAATGAGAGAAGAATTTGTTTCATAATAGCAGATGAAACTTTTCTAGGGTCACCAGAGAATTCAATGTGCCCAAATGATGAGTCAAAGGCTTTCAACCCATTTGACCCCCAGAAGCTACTTACACATTTTGGTTTGTTATGCATAAATTCTTTCAGTCAGCAAATAAAACTAAGTACCGTATTCATAATTCCCAATAGCTGTGGAAGCTGCACTTTCTTTTCCTGAAACACTTTTGTTTCTTCAAAGGAGTCTTTTTTATCATTATGTCAGCAGGATACTTCTACCACAAGATGAGAAGAATTGTTCTTTTTTTCTTTCCTGGGGTAGTATCTTCTCATAAAACTAGAGCATCTCTTATTAATGATTCCATTGTTTTGTTTGTACTTCTGCCCTGGTTTAAGAAGACCTAAATATTTGCTACTTTCATCACTTTAGACAGGCAAGGGGGAAAGTATCTGTTTTTCTTTTTAAAACAGCCTATGTAATAAATCTTGTGGAGCCTTTTATTGTTCTCACACCAAAAGCCCCCTTTCCATTGACCTATTTCTAATTTTTATATTTCACATGTTCCCCATCCCAATTCCAGTTGGCAACATAGCACAAAATGCCTAAGCAAATTCAGGATGCCTATTTAATATCACTGATATAATTATCAACCCCCAAACACTGTATTGTTAAAAGGATACTTCTGTCAGGCAGGAGGAATCTATATGAGCTCTATCAATGAGATTCTCTTCTTATGGCATCTAATTCATCTGTCCTGTCCTCCATAGCAACATGCCCATCTGCTTGTGCAACATTATATATGAGTAAGTTAGGACTCTTAAGGAATAAATGGTTTTCTTTTGGTTGTCAAAGAGCTTGTCATTCACCAGAGCTGATGGGAGAAGGGGGTACACAAGAGTGACTTTAGCAGCTGCTTTCAGTGTTTTTGCTTCAACATTTGAAAAGAGAGCTTGTATCCCAAAAGACTGTGATTGATTTCCTATGGTGATAGGAAAGAAGCATGTTCTATTCTATTAGGTGGGGGTGAGACTGGAATCTCCAAAAACAGATATACAGACATCATATTTTAATGGGAACCTGTGTGCACAGAACAAAACTAG